TTATGATCTTATACCAATATATTTTTATGATAGATTGAGCTACCTATTAGGGAGAGAAGCATGAATAGATGCTTTCATAATTGTGCTTGTGTAGATTATATTTTTGTATTGGATACTTACTAGTTTTTAACATATTACATGTATAGGCATTATGCATTGGTTGTAATTTACAATTTACCTCTGCAGATCCTCTTTGCATTTAAGATTGATAGAGGCAATTGAATTGTAAATCATTCTTCAAAACTTTTTTTTTTTAAATGTTGATTGACGTCTAACGTGTTAGAGAAACGAAGTAACAAAATATTCATGTAGGAGTGAAACAGAGTGCAGTAAAGGGAGGAAGACAATTTCTTTAAAATTTTTATATTACATATATATTGATTTAGATGAATGATCATGCAATTCTGAACCTACCTGGTAATTGTTGGTATGTGGCATTAAGATACATGTAAATTAACACTTTTTCTTCAAGTAGTGGCTGCTTTAATGTTCACTGATACTCTGATAAGAGATCTAAATAAGATAGATTTCTATTATTCCTTTATAAATTTGACAAGTTGAAGTGGTATTTTTTTGTCCAAGTTTCCCCCACAAGCTAAGCTATAATTGTTTGTATTTCACTTTTAAAATACTTTTGGGGGGGGGGGGGGGTCATAAGAGTGACAGCAAAATTTTATTTGAGAGAGCAGAGGATGCATGAACCTTAAAGTCATGACCTTGGTGTTGGTTGTATTTTATGAATGCCAATCTGTATTATAATGTGGTAGAAATAATCAGGATTATATATTTTTTCAGTATGTATGTACATATAGGGAAATAGATCTGTTGATTGGAGATATTTTAGGGATCTGTAGACAAAAGAAGTGAACAAATCTTGGGTGGTCAAAGCAATTTGTGATTTTTCTAGTCTGTATTTTACATGAACAGCTGTTTACATGATAAAATTGATTATAATTTTTGTTCTTCTTTTAAACTGGTATAAGTACTTTGAAACCATAAAAGAAAAATATGTCAGTCTTAGTGGTGACTCATGGCTATGGTGTACAATACATGTGCTTCTCAACAATCAAGGTCATTCAGAATTCATGACTTGAATTCTGAACAGTTTGCATGGCAGATGATATCAATTGCAACTTCACTTATTGATCTAGATCCAAAGGTATAGATATTTATAATTGTAATAAGGCCAAATAAAAAAATATGTGTGGTTCCGGTTACCCGACCGTCCCTATTTTATACCCCCGACCCTAAACTTTTTTTTTGGCAATTTTCATATTTTTTCTGGAATTTTCCCAGATTTCTATCAATGGCTCCGGTTTAAGTTTTAGTTTCAGCAATGACGGCCTCCTTGCAAAACATAGTGCACATGTAGGTGTCCCCTACCAATATTGACTAGTATATTATCACACCACATCTAAATGCCACTTGCAAAGGAGTGATAGGTATTATTTAGAAAAATTAAGAAAATCATTTTGTTAAAAAAAAAAAAAAAGAACCTACCTACCTACCCAAATTTTTTTGGAGGTGTAACCGGAACCACACATATTTTTTTGTTTGGCCTAACAGTAACTCAAGATCAGGTCAAGTTGACAGTTGCGTATCTTTGGCTGTGATGCGCACATGATCAGGCTCTTCAGAGCAAGTTGATTACAGTAAAACTCAGTTATAATGAAGTCTTTGGGACCTGTGAAATTACTTCGTTATATCCATAATTTGTTATATCCGTATAAGAAATTCGTAAAATTTATACATGTATTACTGGGGATCCCAAAAAACTTCACTATATCCGTGAATTCGCAATATCCGTGTTCGTACTAAACGAGTTTTACTGTACTGTTATAATATTATAATACATTTATTGTATTGCCTTTTAATATTAGCTAAATAAGAAAAAAGTTGTGTGTTTTTTTATGAATTATACAACTTTGACCTATAAAACAAAACACATTGTCAAGGAGCTTTTTGATACACAAAAAAAATCATATATATATATATATATATATATATATATATATATATATATATATATATATATATATATATATATATATATATTGTTTACTACAACTATCGTCAGTTTCAGAGAGAGGTAAACCATGGAGTGATGCTGTGGAAAGTTGGAACACATCCTTACGTGATTGCATGAAATGAAATATGGAGATAACAAACAGTAATTAAGCTCAAAAGTCCATTGAAACTATACGAATTGGGAGCAGAGCAAATACAGACCTGTAAAAACATCAGAGGTGGGATCAGGTGCCATGGAGGAGTTAGCATCCCCTGTGGACTGGTCACAGCCACTGTGTGCTCCTTGTTGTGATTGGAAAAGTGGAAAAATCCATAGACGATTCAGTGTGATGTAAAATTGAGTGATACACAATATTTATATGATTAGTGTATTAAGGCCAGGTCAATTCATTTTAGTGATCAATATTTTGATAAAATTTGCCTTTCTACAAAGAACATTTGACATTTCACTCTAAATGATCAAGTTGTCTTTTCCAACTTTAAAGTTGGCTTTTCCAACTTTACAGCACTTGGTAATTCCAACTTTAATCTTGGCTTTTCCAACTTTAAAGTTGGTAATTCCAACTTTAAAGTGGCTTTTCCAACTTTAAAGTTGAAAAACAAATTGATAACACTATAAGTTGTGAATATATTTATATATAGAAAGACCATTAGTAGGTTTTCCTAATAAATTTATTGGTAAAATTTGTATATTCCTCACTGAGAGCATAGTGGCAACAAACCCAAAGTACAATTTGTACTTCGTAATAAATTTGCTTACATGAAAAGAGAAAATTAATGAATAAGGTACTGTTCAAATACAATTAAAGCTGTTAAAATTTTGTGCTTTAATCAATACATTTCGGGGGGGGGGGGTTCTGAATACAGTTTTTTGTATCATGTCTTGTACTCGGCCTATTCATAGGGCGTTTAATGTTTACAAAAAAAAATCAATTTATCATTCAAATGTGCATGTTCGCTGCTTTTATCCTTGGCAGAAATGAAATAAGAGCACCTGATGTACAATATCCATAACATAGTATAACAGGTTTCACAATAAACGTCAATTAATGAAATTGTTATTTTTCAAGTTTTTACAAGGGGGGGGGGGGGGGGGGGGTGATGTTCATCAACTTCTGCTCCAAAGCTAAAAGTACTAGTATTCCTTCCTGCTATAAGCCTGTAGGCTGTCAGTAGAAACTACAATACATATTACTGGAATTTTTCTGTTGGTAGTGGTATAAATTCAATTCATCTAGTGAATTCAATTTCATCTAGAAAATTATATTTTGCATTAATAATTATCTCAGGCTATTGATATTTTAATTACCATTGTTAATATATACATGTTATATACTGTAGTTTAGATGTCTAGCAAATCCTACCTGCTGAGAACTGCCCATCTTCCAACCGTATTATTTGACAGTTGAAAAAATAATCCCCAATTTAAAAAAAAAAAACATTCACTTTGAAAATTAATTTGCTCAGGAAATCTTTATCTATAACAAATTTTATGAAGTGTGGAAGCCTAATAGATCTAAATTGACAACTTGTTGACATTCACATTAAGAAGATAAACAATTCCTGTCTTATTATCAAACATTTTTCAGCTGATAGAATCTTTGAACATCAAGCCCATTATATAAAGATAAAGTCTATAAATAGAGAAATATAGGACACAAGTGATACTGAACAAAGATGGCAGCAAAAACTGCACTAGGAAATGTTGTCAGGAAGTTTGCTAACATTAGGTAAGTATTTAAGGCTATAGTTTTTATAGGTTAGGGTATTAACCTGTTATTTACTTCTGTGTTCTGTATTATGCTCCCAGTGACTGTGTACGTCCTAGAAATAAAATTGTGTCAATACCGGTATATAGCACACATTTGGAGATTTGATCTTTGCAGTAGGAAAAAAGTTTCTTTTAAAAAAAAAAGGATTTAGAAGAAAATGATTGAGATACATATGACATATTGTATCATGATTGACCTGCATGCACATTGTTACATTGCAGTGCATGGTGATTTTGTGTTCAAAAACCTTAACTTGCTATGTAAAAACATACAAATGATTGGTTCATGATTATATCATCAGTCAGATAAATAAAAATTTCACTATTTGATAGTTAACTGAAGAATTAAATTTTATACTATAAACTACATGAAATATTATGGTCCCAGGTTCTGCTTATCAATTAACCCCTCCCCCGAATTCAGTCCCTTCTGTTCTTAAGTTGTTTGCTGGTCATGTAGACAGATTTTATAGCTAAATGTTGACAAAGCTGTATGATGAACACTCAGGTGTTGACAGACCTGATGGTCAAGGCCTCTTAGCTAATCAAAATTGTCAAGTGTGTCACATTTTTTCCCTGTCACAGTGCATGCAGTGGTCAACTGAAAGTTTCAAAGAAAGAGGCTTCCATTAGGCACATACTTCGGATCACTTTACTCGACACTAATTTAGTGTTTCTGCAGTGTGGTATGAGGAAGATGAATCATGTTGATTAATAAATAGATCAGCATAGATAATGTTACAGGTCCAATAAGAATGAGCTAATACTGTGAGGGTTCACTTGTTTAATAACATGGTAATCAGGGTCAAAAGAACTTAATACGACTAAGACCAAAACTTAAACTGACTGTAAAATCTTTTCAGATTAATTATTCTATGAAAAATTGGTTGCATAAATATGTTTTTCAAAATTCTTTTAGAAAAGATAAGTACATTTTAAAATTTTTGTAAAGATTTTAGATAGTTATTTTTGAAATTATATTTAAAATTTGTTCTTTAGTCATAAGTTCTTTTGTAAAACGGGCCTTAAATAAACCTTGAGCCCTAAAATTAAAAATGTATCATAAACACATGTAAATCTGCAAAGCAAGTAATTACAAATAAAAAAGCACATAACACATGAAATATAATAGTATAACGTACTATAAAAGCAGAAATATTCATTGGGATTAAATTTCGTTTATTTCGTTGATTACAATTATCAACGAAATTAAATCCCCCACGAATTTTTTATATGACTATATATTGAGTAGGGTAACTTTCGAAACAACGAAATTTAATGCCAACGAAACCTTTTTATATGACAAACAACGAAATTTTATTCCCACAAAAATTTGTGCTTCTACAGTAATGTTCAACATTATGCTTTCCTTCATGATGAATATATACAGTACTGCACTCTGAATAAAGGGCAACAACTCTTAATTTCAACTGAACAGATTCATAGGGCATTATACAGATAAAACATATACATTGTATTACCTATAAAAATTGAAGCAAAAATGGATTTTGGTAATTTAGCTTGGTAAATCACAAATATTTTTCAATCATACTTTATAACCAATAGCTTCATTAATCAATTTGAAGTTTTAAAAATGTCTATAATATATAATACATGTTTTATTAATAAAAACTACCACCTGGCTGTCACCGTTAAGCTATATAAACTAACCTAACCAATAGCAGGACGAGACCTCAATCACAATAATATATCACATGACACTACCAAACTGGACAAAACACACATCACCACATGGCTTAAAGGTAAATATTGAAATTTTAAATAAACAAACACATTTAATACATGTTTTCATATAAGTTTTAAGTGTGACCTCTATTCAGTACATAATTAATGAAAAGAAAAACAATAAAAAGATGTCTGTAAAAATGGTATATAATATGATCATAATTATGGCAACAGCTTGAACTATTATTTTATAACTTTTGAAATAAAATTGCTTCATAATTTCATCCTTTTCAGATTAGGCAATGCTCATGGTGCCATAAGTGTCCAAGGAAAAAGTAAGTACATGGTACACCTGTACTTGACTATAATAAATATATAATACATGTATGAACTTTCAATAGCTATAGTCCTCTTAAAAAATCAATTCTTGATTAAATATAAAATTTACAATTTAAGAAACCAATAGAATCATTGTTTGCAATTCTATACAATACCTAGTTTACAAATCTGAAAATTAGGAGGGAGGGGAGGGGGTCTTTATAATTACATCCATTTGACATGTTTGAGGCAACAGACCATATAGATTTTATATAAGCTAATTTAATATTTACAGCACTCTAGAATTTTTATGTGTACAATGTCATTTTATATATGTTAAAAAAGAGTTTTTGACTCTAAAATTTATTGCCAACTATTCTAAACTGAATTGCACAAGACAATTTAATGATATATAAATAGTTCTGCACTAAAGTGCAGTACCTGGCCATAAGTGAGTCGTAATTTTATTTTTCCACTATATATTTCATTAAAAAATGCATTTTTCTAAAATATTATTGCAGTGTTATTTGTTGATCATTTTTTATGACTAAAACACCATAAAATGTAGAATTCTTTGCAGTTTCTTGATTTGATTTCAAAATAATTTTATCTGTTGGCACTGCGGTGATATCACACATCAAATGCGAATTAAAAATTTTACAACTCTAATTCGTTAAGAAATCATATAATTTGAGATTAGAAATTTTTGTCTTGACGATTTAATATATTATTTTCAATGGTTAGTATATCGTTTTGTTTAGCATTATAAGACAAGAAAATTTGAACAATTCTGCATGATTTAGTGAAAAAATCATGGAAATTGGGCTAAAATTGACCTCACAATAAGTATTTATAAAAATTGGTTTTTCAATGAAATATATAGTGTAAAAATGCAATTATGACTCACTTTTGGCCATATACTGTATATCAAATATGTCAACCTGGAGACGTATTTTGAGAAATCATGCTTGATATTACTACATGCATGTAAATTGAATTCAGACAATGAGATGCACGTTCTCATATATAGTGCAATGCTTGTTTGCATGACTAGTAACATTAAAATTAAAATTTTAAAAGACTAAAATTGCCAGGATAATTAAGTTTGTCTTTGTTTTAATGCTATAATGTTTATGATCATAATTACAGAGAGTTATGGAACAACATCAGGAGAACAAAAGGAATATGCTTATGAGGTAATTTATACTTTAATTGTAATCATTTGAATGAAATATATACTTTTATTTAAAAATTTAAATACAGTCATGTACATTCATCAATTTGAAAGTATCTCTTAAGAACCCTCTCTACACTGCACACTAAAGAGTTCCAATTCTGTGGCATTTAAGGTTATGTTTTTACAGTGTTGTATATTCTCTTTCTACAATGTAAACTTGCTTTTATATCAGAGCTTATGTACCGTATATACTCGCATATAAGTCGGTCTGCCTATAAGTCGGTTGTATTTTTTAAGCTTATATTAGAGGGCTTGACCCTCTAAAATACCAATCTTTTTGTAACTCGCCTATAAATCGGACAAAGAGTTTTGGACTGAAGTTTAACTCCCAAAAAACCGACTTATAGGCGAGTATATATGGTATGTTTATAAGAATCTCAAAATTATTTTGCGTACTCTTATCTTATGCACATCCTCCAAAATAAAAATTAATGTAAACATTATAAATCTATTCAAATACTTGAGAATATTAATTCATGATTGCAAAGAACAGTGCATAAAATAAGATTGCACATTTGCACTAAAGTTTGAATGCTCAACAATCATAGTATTGGTGGATCAAAGAGTTTTAGGTAATAAGATTGAGTGCTTAGGGTGAGAAAAGCATTTTACAGTCAATAAGCTATATCATATTTTATATTTTTTGCAGATGGCATGTTCTAATATACGATATGGAGAAGGTGTCACCAGAGAAGTTGGATTGGCAAGGATTTTAGTTTGTCTTTATTATTAGCTCACCTGAGCCAAGGCATTTGAAATAATATATATGGGGAAATCTAAGAAGAATCCTCTTGTCAAGAACAGCTAGGATATGATTATTCACAGTAATATTTTAAAGCAATAAATCATCAGATGTTTAAAACATTTACCCAGAGTAGGATGGGGCCATAATAGAGAATCAAAGTTATTTTTATAATTCTACTGCAGTGTACTAATTCAGCATATGACATTAACAATGCAAAACCTTATATATGCACATTAAAGTGATATGTGTAAATACATATACCAAACTTTTCTTGAAAATAAATTGCCTCCTAATTTATTTTTTGCCTCATAAAAGTAACATTGAAGTATCACAAAAAAGTAACACTGAAAAAGCAAATCTGACAATTATAAGTTACTACATGTACCTGTATATCCAGAGCATTTTATACAGAAGATACAATATTTGTAAAAGTTTTGATGGGATAGACTGAAATTGTCATTTGATTTTGAAATTGCTTAATTTCATAACAATTTTTTTTTCCAGGATTGTAAAAATCTGGGTGGAAAGAACATTTGTGTTATGACAGACAGGAACTTGGTTAAGTTAGAGTCAGTGAAAGTGGTCTGTGAAGCTTTGGAGGATGTTGGTCTGAAGTACAGTGTGTATGATAAATGTAGGGTGGAGCCGTCAGATAAAAGGTAGATACAGGGTCAGTCTTGTTAAAATCAGATCCCTTGATCCACTCACATAGATAGCTACACAACATCTAAAGAAACCCCATTAAAGGTCAAATACACAAAAAGAATGTAAAGGGATTATTCTAATGCAACTGTTTTGTAAAATGCATTTCAATTAAATGAGCATTAACAGGAGTGAAAGCTTTTGATTGTTACATCATGTTAGAAAAATGCCAAAACACAATGCTTCGTGACGTATTTCATATAACAAAACTAATAAGATGTAAACAACAAACAAAATGCATTAGAATGAGAATAACTGTCTTTTCATGTGTTATTTGCAACCATTAATGCTGATTTAACATTCACAAACATCTGTTTTACCAGCTCACTTATGTGTAACCAGTAAAATTTGATCAGTTTGCAACCACGAAATCAGCATTAACAGTTGCAAAAAACAAATGAGAAGACAGTCATTCCATATTCCTGTATACAGAAAGGGAGAAATTCTGTTTTCCTGGATGCATCTTTGCCTATTAACTTAGATATGGGAAAATGGAACTTTTTTTCAGTTTTAAAGATGCCATTGACTTTGCCACCAAGGGTAATTTTGACCTATTTGTGGCAGTGGGAGGTGGCTCTGTGATGGACACATGCAAAGCTGCCAATCTTTACTCCTCTAACCCAAAGGCAGAGTTTCTGGACTATGTTAACGCCCCTATAGGGAAGGGCCTGCCTGTCACTCATAAAGTCAAACCACTAATTGCAGGTAAGCTGTCTTCTGATAATCCATCCCAGTGCTGGTTTAATGCTACAAGTCAAGAAGAACATACACCCCCCCAAAAAACCCTACATTTTGTACTACCATACTGATTATAATCTGTTAAATGAAAGATGACATAAAATGTTTTTAATAAATTGCTGAAGAAAGGGCTGCATGGAGTAAGACAAATAAAACATAATTATACCCCGCTCTGAAGGAGAGAGGGGTATACTCTTTTATCCTTGTGTGTCTGTCTAGCTGTGTGTATGTCTGTCTGTCTGTCCATAACAAATTTTCATCACAGTTTTCTCAGCAACTACTCTTCACAGATGCTTGAAATTTTAGCAAACTCTTTGTTTTGGCATGCCATATGGTGAGAATCACTTTTGTACGAATCCGATGTCAACTTCCTGTTTATCCATGTGTCTTTCCAAACCAAATTTCCATCACAACTGAACTTGTGTATATTCTCGTGAAAGTTTATATTCACATCAGAGCGGGGGTACATGCATGTATTACTAGTGAGCATTGGCTCACAGACTTCTTGTTCATTGTGTTTTATTTTGATTTGTTATTCTCTGTTCCAGTGACAACAACAGCAGGAACAGGAAGCGAGACCACAGGGACAGCTGTGTTTGATCTCTCTGATATGAAAGCAAAAACAGGTTATATTTCCTACAAATTTTATACAACTTACATTTAAAAATGGTTAATAAACCTTTATTATTAATTCCTTGCAACTATAATTTGCAAGAAATGATTATACCTTGATTACATCTAACACTTTCTTTTAGATGAGAATATTCTATTCTGTTGCTCATCTTTAAAAGTGATTCATTTTAGAATTTGGTATGTTGTTTAAGGTATTTCAAACAGAGAACTTCGCCCCACACTTGGTATTGTTGACCCTTTACATCTCAGAACCATGCCAGAGAGGGTAGCAGCATATAGTGGAATTGATGTTCTATGGTAAGCAGGCAGTATCAGGATAAGGCTTTCATGTAAATCTTTTCTATGTCTCCCTTGAAAAGGGGGCATATTATTTGCACCTGTCGTTCGGTTGGTAGACTAAGTGTTGACTGATCAATGTCTTGAGAACCCTTTGCTTAACACATATCAAACATGGTACACCAGTACCCCCTGAGAAGTAGATGACCCCCATTGATTTTGAGGCCACAAGGTCAAAGGTCAAGGGTCAAACTACAAATACACTCTATACTTAGGAAGGTATTGTCCTATTACATGTAGTATCTTGAGAACCCTTTGCTTGATAACATCAAACTTGGTATATTGATTCCCTTTAGGAAGTAGATGGCTCCTATTGATTTTGCGGTCACAGTGTCAAAGGGTCAAACTGGCCATAGGCAGATATTGACTGCTCAATATCTTGAGAACTCTTCTTTTGGTTTTTAAAAAGAACATTTCTTGTATTTTTTGTATGAAACAAAACAAGAGACATTGACAAGCATCAGAATTGGGTTCTCATTAACAGTTTCTGTAATTCATGTACCTGTTTGCTTAGCCTTTCATAATTTCAAAGATATATGGAAATCTATACACATATTTATATTTTTAAAGTCTTGGTCACACAAAGGTTTATAGCATGTCATAAATTGTACACAATCTTAACAAATCAGGAATTCTTTAAAAAAAAAAAAAAAAAGATGATTTTATAATCCAGCCATGCTATAGAATCCTATACTGCCTTGCCATACTATGAGAGAGTCCCTCGTCCAACCAATCCAAACCTCCGCCCTGCCTACCAGGGTTGTAACCCGATCAGTGACATTTGGTCCAGACATGCCCTACAGATTACCAACAAGTATATCAAGAGGTAAAATCAATTTTTATACAGGTGTTTAATTGGGTATAAGATCTATTGTAACCAAAAAATATATTATTAGTATTAGTATCAGTATTAGTGTTCTCAAAATAACATATCTGAAGACAATTTGAAATTTTGTTATTTCTGGTACATGATTTATACTACAATTATATTAATCTACTGTATGATTATCAAGTATGCAATAGCTGCAGAATGTAGCTCTCTGCTTGAGAAAATTCAGACAGATAAAGCAGAGCTACAGATCCAAGCATTGTAAAAACCTTCGATTTACGCCGCTGCTTTTTTGTCGCTTGTTTCGGGCATTATTTCTTGTATTTTATCCTTTCTCCCACTTTAAGAGTGGTATCCGATAATAAACCATACATTTTACTCCTGTTCTTGATACTTTATATTGATCTGTAGCTCTCTGCTTTATCTGTCCAAATTTTCTCAAGCAGAGAGCTACAGTTCTGCAGCTAAGTATGCAAATACTTAGACATCTCACAAACTTTTTGTCAAAGGCATATGTACATGTATATCATAAAGTGCAAACATTTCACTGTCTAGTAACTCTAGTTGTTTTCATCTCATCATCCCACAGTACCCAATACGTGTAATTCATGATTGTGCCAAACAATCTGCAACTTTTACATGTGAATTTTAAGAATGATAAAATGAATACCTGTACATGTAGAGTATATTTGTATAGAGCAACCTTTGATGCCGGTGATATGGAGGCTAGATCCATCATGCACTTGGCCAGTTGTTATGCAGGAATTGGATTTGGAAATGCTGGATGTCATATGTGGTAAGATTATAAACATGTAGAATCTCTTGCAAGAAACTTCAAGTAAATCTACTTTTTCAGGTATAATATGGCACAGTTACATGAAATTTTTTCACTTGCTCAGTCCCTTTCAAGAAATTCTATCATTTTTAGCAGTTGGTATTACTCATATGCAATATGATTAAAATCAGATACTTTGATGTGCATGCTCATGTAGATCACTAGCATTCGGTTCAAAGGATCTGATTTTAAATCAGACTGTATTTATATGACTAAAGAATTCTAAATTCTAATGCAAAATTTTCTTTTCCAGCCATGCAATGTCTTACCCTATCTCTGGTCTTGTTAAATCCTATATGCCTAAAGATTATGATGATGACCATCCAATGGTGGTATGTATCCAACATTTTGTAAGATGGACATCATGACAGTATTATATATTTCTTAAAATTGACTGCATTATATGTTTGTTGCATTATTATTTTTTTAAAGTAAGAAATGGTGTCATAAATAACAAAAAATTGAGGTCATTACAAAAATAACCAGTTACTGTAAACCATTTACTGTTATTCATGACAACTTTTTGTGCTATTCATCGGTTTCAAACCCATCTATTGAGTATTCATATAATTTAAATTTTCTACTTATAATTTTTGTGACTGAGGAAATTTTCTACATAGAAATAAATAATACAAATAAATAAATGGTTTGTGCCAAGGAATATTTGTGAATAAAAGAAGTTTGTGAAACTCACAAATAATTTTCATTTGTGAATAAAAGTTGCTTTTCAGTAATGTAGAATCTTTACAAAAATTGAATTTTCAAAAATTTTACCTGTAAAACAAAATTATTTAATATGGATTTATAGACTGTGTTTTAGTTTTTGCATGTGCATTCTTTGAAAAATGATATTTAAGATGTCAATCCTGCTGCCTTTTGATTGTTGATTTTTTGTGTGATCTCTAGCCACATGGACTCTCAGTCATTATAACAGCACCAGCTGTGTTTGAGTTCATGGCCTCAGCCTGTCCAGAGCGCCACCTAGAGGCAGCGCAGTATCTAGGTATGAGAGGTCTTTAGTCAGAACATACATGAACATATATATAATCATGAGATGCATAATTCTTTATTAATTGTGGGCATTAAAGTGCAATTTTCAAAGCTAAATTTAATGGTGCAATTTTATACCCCTCTTCCCCCAATTGAAAGGCAGGAGGATAAAGTGATGGGGTGTGGGGGTAGCCATCTCTTATCCACAACTCCTCCTACCAGTGATTAAAATTAAATGAGATTTTCACAGAATCTTTATAACATAGTGCCATTGTGCACCTTTTTTACATTTTCATGAGACACATATTTGGGGTTTCCCATAGCAAAACATGGAAACTATCATTCTTTTTATAATATTGGGGGTACCCATCTCTTATTAGCAGTTACTCCTATACTACTGAACTAAAATTTAATGAGACTTTCACAGAATCTTTATTACAAATTGCCATCCTATTTAACATTTTGATTGGACACATATTTGGGCTTTCCCATCGCAAAAGGTGGACTTTACCATATACTCATATGAGAGTGAGGGGTACAGTGTATCATTTTGTGAGGTCATTGCTTACAGTACCTCTATAAGTAGCTGGTATAGTAAAACAGTGTATGATTTACCACAGTTTTAATTGTAAGAAAGCAAAAAAGGGTGTATAATGTATAAATGCATGTTCTCATAAAATGTAAAACCATAAAACATATATACATGTTGTAATTGACTTAGGTGTAGATATAACAAACAAGAAGAAGGAAGATGCTGGTCCTATCCTGGCTGACCGACTGAGACAGATCATGCAGGACCTGGAGATGCCAGATGGACTGTCCAGTCTAGGATACACCAAGGATGACATTCCTAACCTAGTCAAAGGAACAATGCCTCAGGTAAGATACACCAAGGATGACATTCCTAACCTAGTCAAAGGAACAATGCCTCAGGTAAGAGACACCAAGGATGACATTCCTAACCTAGTCAAAGGAACAATGCCTCAGGTAAGAGACACCAAGGATGACATTCCTAACCTAGTCAAAGGAACAATGCCTCAGGTAAGAGACATCAAGGATGACATTCCTAACCTAGCCAAAGGAACAATGCCTCAGGTAAGAGTCTCCAAGGATGACATTCCTAATTTAATCAAAGGAACTATGCCCAAGGTAAGATACAGCAAGAATGACATTCCTAACCTAGTCAAAGGAACAATGCCTCAGGTAAGAGACATCAAGAATGACATTCCTAACCTAGTTAAAGGAACAATGCCTCAGGTAAGATACACCAAGGATGACATTCCTAACTTAGTCAAAGGAACAATGCCCCAGGTAAGATACACCAAGGATGTCATTCCTAACCTAGTCAAAGGAACAATACCGCAGTTAAGAGACACCAAGGATGATATTCCTAACCTAGTCAAAGGAACAATGCCTAGGGTAAGAGACACCAAGGATGACATTCCTAACTTAGTCAAAGGAACAATGCCTCAGGTAAGATACACCAAGGATGACATTCCTAACCTAGTCAAAGGAACAATGCCTCGGGTAAGAGACACCAAGGATGACACTCCTAACCTAGTTATAGGAACAATGCCTCAGGTAAGACAATGGCAGAACAGTTGCATTTCTTAAGCATCAAATGCTTGTATTAGAATCTCTAACATTTTCTTCATTTGCCCACATAAAAACAGTTTTTTTTTTTTGGAAATTGCAGCTTTAAACCTTGATATCAAAATAAATGTCTCTTACAGCATCGACTGACAAAGCTGTCCCCCCGACCTGTAACAGAGGAGATAGTAACAGGACTGTTGGAGAAATCCATGAAAAACTACTGAGTGTTAGTGCACTACTTAGACACACACTGCAAACTTGGACTCTGAATAACTAGGTTGGAAAGTGTCAGGGTAATGGAAATCTGTGCTGTGAATATCCTTAACATATGATTCAAGAAGACCACTCATGCTATAAAAATGATTAATTGATATATATAGTAAAATTAATTGATAAAAGTATGGGTGTAAAAGTGAGAGAGGAAATAATTTGTGATTTTTTTTTAGTGTGGACCGTGCTTCCATTCTCAATAACTTCTGGTGATCTATTTTTATGCATGCTCTATTTTTTTATGGAGATTTACGAGGGGCATTTCAAAAGTTCTGGCAACTGGTATATAAAATTTTAGTAGTGACGTTATTTTTCATTCAAAATGACGTATAGGTCTGCTAAAATGACATCATAATTAGGTATACTCTGTATACTGGGCGTAAAAATGACTGATAAGGAGAACAATTTTTTTGTTGAGCAAAGAGCAAAGAGCGTATTGCAAAATTCGCTCATTGCTTGGCTTTACGGCAACAGAAATAAAAGCCGATTTAGATGTAGTATATAGAGAGCATGCTCTTTCATATCAAGCAATAGCAAGATGGGTAGTTCAATTTAAAGAGGGTAGAAAATCAATTGAAGATGACCCCCGTTCGGGGCGTCCAGTTTGTGCATATGGCGAAAAAGAAATCGTCGCTGTTCAAAAAAGGATAGCTGATGATGCTACTAGTAGATATACAGTTGAGGAAATAGCAGACTTAACTAACATTAATTCGTCAGCAGTTTTTCGTATTTTAAAGGAAAACTTAAAGCTTAGGAAAGTCTATGATAGATGGGTGCCGCATCTTCTCTCGGAAGAGCAAAAGCGCATCCGGGTAGAAATGGCTTCACAGTTACTAACAATTTATGAAGATTGTGACCAAAGGCGAATAAATGAGATTGTAACTGGTGATGAAACATGGATATATTTTTTTGAACTGGAAACTAAGCTCAATAATAAAGTTCGGATCGGTGAAAATGAGACAAGGCCTCAAATTGCACGCAGAAACCAGTCTGTCTGGAGAGTAATGTACGCCTTATTTTTTTATTCTAAAGACCCTGTTGCTCAAGTTACGGTTCTAGAACACAGCAGTGTTACTGGTCAATTTTATGCAGAGAATGTCTTGTCTAAGTTTGTAGAGCACTATAAAACGACCCAACCAACAACCAGTACTAGAGGAATAAAGCTCCTCCATGACAACGCACCTGCCCATAGATCAGAGGTAGTAACCAAATATTTAAAAGAAAATGGTATTGCCGTTTTACCACATCCACCCTACAGTCCCGACCTAGCTCCATGTGATTTTTGGTTGAATGCCGTTATCAAAGAAGCCCTCCGAGGACGGCGATTTGAAAGTCGTCATGCAGTCAGAAGTGCCGTATTCCAGAGTATGAAGCGTATACCAAAAGAGAACTATAGGGCAGCATTTTCCACATGGATTTCAAGACTGAAAAAGTGTGTCCAGGTCAACGGAGACTATTTTGAGGGATTGATATAATTTAATTTATGATAATGACGCTCATTAATTTACCGCACACCAGTTGCAGAACTTTTGAAATGCCCCTCGTATAATCTTGTAGCAATATACATGTAGTTTATGATATGTTTGAGCTACCTAATTGACATATATGAAAAACAGGTGCTTTTTATTTATGATTGTGTAATTGTATTTTTGGAGGGTGATGTTTAGTAGTTACATGTACATGTACTGTACATTTGTAAACATTGGGTATTTGTTGTAATTAAATACAATGTACCTCTGTTAACATTCTTTGCATTTATGACTGAATTGTGAATCATTCTTGGAAACTGTTTTTGTTTGTTATTTGTTAGGAACTCCTAAGAATATGTAGCAGCCCTACATTAATCACTGTGTCCATCCACAAATTTCACATACAAATACATGTACTTTAATCCTTTAAATATAACTATCCTTCAGTATTCAAATTTAATGTCATGTTGTTGCAGCAGGTATTAATACATATATTACATTTACATATTCTCAGGTTACACAGAAATGTTTAAATTTGACATATAGCCTACTATATAATTTGCATTAGAGAGCTATCAAAGGAAAAAAAAATAAAATTTCACAGTTTTACTCGAATATAAAATGTTTTCTACACTCAAGAGGTTAGACTTAAATAGATTTGTTGTTCTTCAGTAACACTACAAAGTCCTAACTAACTGTAAGAATGTCCTCCATTGATATAAGGTTCTATTTGTATATCCATTTGTGGCATAGTATACACAGTGTTGATTTAGATGAATTATCTTGCCTGCTGCAGAAGATTCTTAACTTAATCTGTCAAATTAAGATAAATTAACATTTTGTCAACAAGTCTATATTGACCTTGGACTTGTTTGCATTTAACAAATGCCGATCTTTTTTTTTTTATAATTTGGTAGAAGTATATTTAATCATATATTTCATACAAGCCAGTACATGTGGGGCAAATGGATCTATTGATTTGAGAGATTTTAATTACTAAAGCAATTTGTGATTTTTCTAGTTTGTGTTTTACAAGAACAACTGTTTACATAATTGAAGTATTGATTATAATTTTTTTTTTATTCTCTATACAAATATTTTTAAAATTTAGATGTAAGCTGATCGAACTATAAAGTACATGCCCAGTTTCACTATGTCAGACCTCTCTTGAACTCCAAACGTTTGAGAATTTGAATTATTTTATTTATTGACAAGTATTCTGCAAATGAGATACTTTACTTTCAGTTATTAGGATTTTCCAAAACATTTGTGAAGTCAGGATGCTTGAGAGATGTATTTTTAATTTAGCATCCTGAATTAAATGTAATCACCATATTAGTCACTCATGGCTAAGGTATAAGGAGAGCCACAAATTCATGTGCATGCATGTATTATATTTAAATCCATGAAGTCCATATAGTAATTATAACCTCATCAGTATTTTTAGCTGGTTGTATATAAAAGCATTATCTCACTAGCCAAGCATCAGTTGTCTGTAAAAGTTCTAATACTACCTCCAGATCCTGCAATTTTAAGTTTGCTTTTATGATCGGAATAAGTTCAGATGAGCTTATGCCATACCCTCAGGTTAAAGTTACTATAGCGCTCCATTTCCAAGTCACTATTAGTGACTAATCTTGAACAAAATTGCATAGATGATGCTGTTCGTGATATCCAGACTTGCTCTAAAATTTGTCTGACCTAGTTTTGCTGAATGAGACTTGAGAGACCAGCTCAGATTGATGTCCATTCCTGTAAGGCTTTGAATTACTTTCAGATGACAATCATCATGTGAGCTTATTAATCTCAAACCTCATTATTTCAAACTCAATGGGAACAAGATTAAACTTAAGTCTATCCAATGATTTGAGATAACGAGGGTTAAAAGCATTAACAAGAGGCCCATGGGCCCAAACACTCACATGAGTCAATATGGCCCTGCTGTTCTTCATCAGCAGATTTTTTCTATTATATATTCCTATGTAAACCTTTGATCATAGTCATGACCTCATCATGATTTTAATAGAAGTTGCCCCACCCCACCCCTCAGGGTCATGATTTGAACAAAATTGAATCTACATTACCTCAAAATACTTCAATATCAATGTGACTAAACATGGCTTTGCTGTTCTTGAGAAAAAAAAAATTATTTTTTTCCCTATGCATCCATATGTTAAACTCTGATAGTACATAGTTGCCCAACCCTACCCCAGGGGGTCATGATTTGAACAAACTTGCACGTACACTACCTGAGGATGTTTCCATAGAATATGACTAAACATGGCTTTGCGGTTCTTGAGAAGAAGACTTTTGAAGATTTTTTCCTATATATATTCATAGGTAAAACTTTGATCCCCCATTATGGCCTCACCCTACCCCCGGGGGTTATGATTTGAGCAAACTTGAATTTACATTACCTGAGGATGCTTCCATATCAATATGACTAAAGATGGCTTTGCTGTTCTAGAGAAAAAGATTTTTTTTCTCTATGCATCCATATGTTAAACTCTGATAGTACATAGTTGCCCAACCCTACCCCAGGGTGTCATGATTTGAACAAACTTGCATCTACACTACCTGAGGATGTTTCCATATGAATATGACTAAACATGGATTGCGGTTCTTGAGAAGAAGACTTTTGAAGATTTTTCCCTATTTATTCCTATGTAAAACTTTGGTCCCCCATTGTGGCCCCACCCTACCCCCGGGGGTCTTGATTTGAACAAATTTGAATCTACACTATGTAAAAATGTTTCAAATAAGTTTCAACTTTTTTGGCCCAGTGGTTCTTGAGAAGAAGATTTCTAAAAGATACTACCAAATTTTCACTGCTTCTTAATTATCTCCCCTTGAAAGAGGGCTTGGTCCTTTATATGAACAATCTTGAATACCCCATTACCCAAGGATGCTTTGTGGCAAGTTTGGTTGAAATTGGCCCAGTGGTTCTGGAGAAGAAGTCGAAGTTTGAAAAGTTTGCAGACGGACAGCTAGACAGACGGACGATGACAAAATGTGATCAGAAAATTCACTTGAGCTTTCAGTTCAGATGAGCTAAAAAGAGGTTGGGACAATGTAAAAAGGGACACATTATTAAGCATTTCACAAATGCAAGAACTTTCCACAACATGCATACTTATGATATATTGATTTAAGGAATAACTGTCTTATTTTTTGGATTCATGATGTGATCAATCGAGTGGCTTGCGTGATAATTTGCATAACCGCCGAAGGCGTTTATGCATAAAATTATCACGCAAGCCAATCGATTGATCATCGTCATGAATCCAAAAAATCTGACAGTTATTCCTTATATTTACATGCTCCTGATTCTGCAAATTCCCGTGCTAATAGCCCCGCTTCTTTCTCTATTTGTCGCGCCCTGCACGTGATTTTTTTTTAACCGCGCCTATCGATGAACCAGTAGATTTATGTAGAAATAAAGTATTTTTACAATTTGTAATTTTATCTCGGACAAAGACATCGGAAATGTAAATATATATATATATATATATATATATATATATATATATATATATATATATATATATATATATATATATATATATATATATATATATATATATATATATGGAAATGTAAATATATATATATATATATATATATATATATATATATATATATATATATATATATATATGGAAATGTAATATATATATATATATATATATATATATATATATATATATATATATATATATATATATATATATATATATATATATATATATATATATATATATATATATATATATATATTTACATTTCCAATGTCTTTGTCCGAGATAAAATTACAAATTGT